AGCCGGGTGAGTCTCCCCCCGGAGCACTTCGGGCTCCTTCCCTCTCCCCTTTTCCCTCTTTTTCCTCACCCCGCGGGATGTGCGGTGACAACAGACCACCAAACCCTCTCCTCCACCTTCCCCCGCTCAGGTCTCGGGCTTTCCCGGCAGCAGGACCACCCTGGAGGACTTGGCCACAGCGGGGTCCCTCCTCTGGTCCCTCCGGGGTTGCTCCCCGGGCAAAACCTCTCCCGCGCGGCCCCTTTTTGGCCGCGGAGGGTCCCCGTGCTCCGGACGAGCCCCGTCCCTCGGTGCCGCGGGCAGCCTGGCCGTCTGGGCGCCCGTTTTTCCCCGGTGAAGACGTGAGGCCTTCCTCCTCCTCCTCTTCCTCCTCCTTCTCCTCCTCCTCCTCCTCCTCGCGGCCCGGGGCTCCGTCGGCTCGCGCGTAAGGATGCGCATTCCTCCCGGGAATCCGCCACGGTGTCGGCATCCAGGTACGTCCCCCCGGCTCTCGGCCGAGCCCCGCCCGGCGCTGGGGGGTCCGCAGCGGGGGGAGAGGCGCTGCCGGGGGCTGCGGGGCGGTGAGCAGCCCGGAGCCGTCGGATGCCCGCGGGGGAGAGCGGTGAGCGCACGGCGATGCCGGGTGGCGGCCAGCGAGCCGGCTGGAATAAAGGATTGCTAAAGACACCGAGCCGGTGGGCTTCTTTCCGCTGCCAACTCTCTCCTGCTCTTGTCTCGCCCGCCCAGGCTCCCTCCGTCCCGCCAGCTCCCCCCGCGGTGCTGGAGCTGCTCTGAGCCCAGAAGCCCCTTCCCAACCCCAAAAGGGCCTTTCCGCCTCGCTTCCTCCTCCCTCAGACCGAGGAGACGTCAGGTTACAGCCTCCGCTTGAGAGGCGCCCGCGGGGCCGGGGGGGCCGCGGCAGGACCCCCCTCGCCGCTGGCTCCAGGAGGGATCCCGGCTCCACCCCGGCATCGCTGTGAGCTCGGAGCGGGACGCTGGGGGCTCTGGTGCCCGCTTGCTGCTGGCTTCCCTCCCCAAAACACCGCCCCGCGGGCAGGGGGAGCCACGGGACGTGCAGGGGTCTTTGGGGGGTCAGGGAGGGGCTGGTGAGCCCCGACACCCGTGGTCGGGAGCTCGGGCAGTGGTGGGAGGTAAGTTCGGCCAGCTCGGGGTGATCCCAAACCCCTCCACTGCCATTCCTAAACTGGACACCCCTAGGAACCCACCCAAAGCCCAAGCGCATCCTCCCGGAGCCAGCCTCGTGCCTCCTCCTCCTCCTCCTCCTCTTCCTCCCCGCAGAGCCGCTCGCCCAGGCCGCAGAGGGGCTCCCAGGGGTCCCCTCGCTGCTGCTTCCCCCCGGCTGCCGCTTGCTAGAAGCAAAGCTTCTCACAGTCTCTCTAGAGATCTGCTGTCACAATTCTGACCAAAAATAATTCACCACCCCCATCGCTCCCCCCCTTCTCTCCCTCTCTCTTTGCAGAGAAGAAGCAGCAGCTGCAGCCCCCGAAATCTCGCCCGCCCGGCCTGAAGTTCCGCATGCAGAAGCGGCCGCGGGGCCCCTCCTGAGCCTCTCCATCCTCTCCGTCTTTCTCAGGAACGCCGCGGCCCCGGAGCCGTGCGGGAGCACGGTGGGACCGAGCCGAGCCGTGCTGCCGGCCCCGGCAGCCTTTTGCTTGACAGAACTGGTTGTTGACCTTATTTTTTTTTTTTTTTTTATTTTCCTTTTTTTTTTTTTTTTTTTTTTTTTTTTTTTGTTCTAAGCACCCCACCCCTTTGGTTTTGTCATTGACCAGCTGACCTTGTTTGTTTTATTTTTCCCCCCCCCTCCCCAATTTTTACCGTGTCTGTGACATTTCCTATCGATGAGTAAAGAGGGACTCCCGCGTCCTGGTCTTTCTTGTGCATCTTTGGTTGTCACTGTGTGTTTTTCTGCCTCCCCCCGTCCGTCCTGGCAGCAGGTAATGGTGGCACCCATGGGTGAGCCCACGGGAGAGGAGGAGCCGTCCCGTGCCCGCGGGGCTGGAGCTGGAAGCGGGATGCTGGAGCTGCTTGCTGCTGCCTGGGGGCGCTTGCTTGGCTGGAGGGCAGCGGGGCCGGGGGGGCCAAGGGCAGTGTTGGGGTGGAATTGCACCATTCCAGGCTTTCCCAGACCGCTCAGGGATCCCTCTGCTCTCTCCCAGACAAGGATGAGTGCTCCAAGAACAACGGGGGCTGCCAGCACGAGTGCCTCAACTCCTTCGGCAGCTACGAGTGCCAGTGCCGCAGCGGCTTCGTGCTGCACGACAACAAGCACGACTGCAAGGAAGGTGGGTCCAGCCCACCCCCCATTCCCTTGGGAATCCCCCAGCCACGCCTCCGTGACCCTCCTCGCTGTCCCGGCAGCTGGCTGTGACCACAAGGTGACATCTGTCTCGGGGACCATCACCAGCCCCAACTGGCCCGATAAGTACCCCAGTAAGAAGGAGTGCACTTGGGCCATCAGCACCACGCCGGGGCACCGCATCAAGCTGGTAGGGGTCGGGGGGTGGGGGGCTCTGGGGTCCCCTCTGCCGAGCCCCGAGCTCACCCAGAACCTCCACAGACCTTCTCGGAGCTGGACGTGGAGGCGCAGCAGGAATGCACCTACGACCACCTGGAGATCTTCGACGGGAAGGACGCCAAGGCCCCGGCACTCGGCCGCTTCTGCGGGGCCAAGGAGCCCGAGCCCATCCTCTCCTCGGGCAACAAGATGTTCCTCAAGTTTGTGTCCGATAACTCCATCCAGAAGAAGGGATTCGAGGCCACCCACACCACAGGTACCTCGGTGGCACTGGGAAATGGGGTTATGGGGTGGGGGCACAGCCTGGGTGCCCCTAAACCCCGGCTTGTCCCACAGTGTGCGGGGGCCAGGTGCGTGCCGAGGTGAAGACCAAGGACTTGTATTCCCACGCACAATTTGGTGACAACAACTACCCGGGGGGCTCGGACTGCGAGTGGGTGATCATGGCCGAGGAGGGCTTCGGCGTGGAGCTCATCTTCCAGACCTTTGAGATCGAGGAGGAGGCCGACTGCGGATACGACTACATGGAGCTCTTCGACGGCTACGACGGCACGGCCCCGCGCCTCGGCCGCTTCTGCGGGTCCGGGGTGAGCTTGGCACGGAGGGGACGCGGGGTGGCTCAGGGTGGGGGGCAAGGAGTGAGGATTCAAGGTGATGGATGAGGCCGAGCCAGAGCGGTGTGGAGAAATCCCCGTGGGAATTTGGTCTGGTGTGATGGTTCCCACCCTCCACAGTGCAAATATTCCCACCCACAACGGGCCCTCACCCCGCGGGTGCTCATGGATCTGAGCGCCCCCTCCCTCACCCCCGCAGCCCCCCGAGGAGGTCTACTCGGCCGGAGACTCGGTGATGATCCGCTTCCACTCCGACGACACCATCAACAAGAAGGGTTTCCACCTTCGCTACACCAGCACCAAGTTCCAGGACACGCTGCACACGAGGAAATGAGGGCCGGGGGTCCCGGCCCCGCCGCGGGCAGGGGAGGAGGAGGAGGAGGAAGAGAAAGAGGAGGAGGGCAGGGAGGACGGCGGGGAGCACTGCCCCGCACAGACTGCACGGAGGAGGAGCACACAGCCAACCTCAGCACTCAAGACACGCTCGCACGGGGCCCCGGGGCTCGGGCGCCCACGGCACGGGGACACAGGGGGGGTCCCCGCTGGCAGCCGCCCACCCCGGTGCTGGGGGGGCCGAGCAGGACCCGCTGCCCTCCCCTGCCCCGGCCAAAAGCTCTGAATGTACAAACCAGTAACCGGGAAGAGCCCAACACACACAAGGTGCTGTTTCTCTCTTGTACCCATGAAATAAATACCCTTGTACTTGGAGCGGGGGCAGCCCCGGCCTCTTTGCTTCCAGCCCAGCAAAACAGCACCCAAAATGGGACCGGACTGGGGGGGAAAGCAGCCAGGACCCTGCACAGACCCCGATCCTAAGGGAGGAGCCCAATCCTTGGGGTTCTGATGGAGCAGAACCAGGAATTCCACCAAAGGAGCAGCCAGACCTTCTCCTGGCGACAGCGGATCCTGTGGAGGGTGGTGGGCTCGGAGCCCTCCGCCCCCAGGACTCTGCAGGTGGGTCCTCTCCCCCCACACCTTTATTTCGAGGTGTCTCTGAGGCAGAAGAGCACCCGCTGTGGGGTGGGTGGGTGCCACGTGCCGCGCCCACCGCGTGCTCCGGCACGTGCCCGCGCCGCCGGCGGCAGATGGCGGGTGGGCTGTGCCACGGCCCCCGCGCCCACCGCGTGCTCCCGCGTGCTCGACCCCTCCTGCAGCCCGTGCTCGCTGCCGGTGCGACGGGGAGGCTTCGCTTCCCACTTTGTGCCAGGCCTGGGGTGCCCCGTGGACAGGATGGGCGCCGGGGTTTTCACCCAGAGGGGTTTTTGGTCTCTGTGGTGAAAAGTGAGTGCAGAACTTGGGAACTTTTCAGTGACAGGACGAGGAGCGTTGGCCACAAACAAAAACATGAGTTCCACCTCAACGTGAGGAAGAATTTCTTTCCAGGGAGGGTGGCAGAGCACGGGGACAGCCCCAGGGAAGGGTGGAGTCTCCCTCTCTGGCGACATTCCAAACCCACTTGGACGTGCTCCTAAGTCACCTGATCCAGGTGACCCTGCCTGGGCAGGCGGGATGCACCCGGTCATCTCCAGCAAGGCCCTTCCAAGCTGAACTGTCCTGAGATCTGGCGAGGGCCACCTTGTCCCCTCCCAGTCCCATCCCCCCTGAGCTGGATCGGTGGGGGGTGGGTCTGAGCCACTTCTTGGGGTCCCGTGGGGGACAGAGGCGCGTGACACGGCCGGTGGCGACCGCACAGAGTTTATTGAAACACCTCCAGCACAGCACAGGGATGCTCGGGGAGGGGGAGCCGGTTGTTGTACAGCGTGCAGGGGGGACACAGAGACGGGGGGCGGGCACCCCGGGGGGGCCGCACGCAAGCGCCATGCTGCCGACGGCTCATGCGGGGGGCGGCGGGTTGGGGGGCACGGGGAGGGGGGTTCAGATCCGTTCTCCCCTTCCCCGGCTCCTCCGGCTGCCTCCGGGGCCGCGGGGCCGGGGACTCGGGCGGTGCAGGATGGCAGAGCAGAGAGGGACAGGACACGGGGGCGCGCCCAGGGTCCCCCACGCCACTGCAGCCCCGCGCCGGCGGGGCCGGGGGTCCCTGTCTGAGCACCCCCCGTCCCCGGGAGCAGTTCAAAACCGGGGGGTGCTTCCAATATCTCCCTGAACCCCTTGGAGTGGCCGGGGAGCCCCAGTCCCGGCTGGCAGGGCCGGGGCTCCCTGGGAGCTGCGTGAACTTGGGGCGGGGGGATGCGGGGGACGCCGGAGGGGCAGGGGTCCCGCAGCGGCTGCGCGGAGCAGGGCAGAGCGCGGGGCTCACGCCAGCGAGGACGCTGCTGGTCGGCCAGTCCAGGAGATGAAGGCTTCCTCCCTCGGGGCGCACAGCGGCGCGGGCTCTGCCTCCTTGCCGGACCAGCGTCCCGCCGGCTCCTTCCTCGGGGCAGCGCCCGGATCCCCCGAGCCCAGCCGCGTCCTCCACCCACCAGCGTCCGTGGGAGAAGCCCCCGAGGCGAGCGCCCGTCCCCCCGCCCGGCCCTGCCCGCCTTCGCCCCTTAGCGCCCCACGCTGATGTTGCACGTCTTGCAGCTGGGGTCCTTTTTGGCGTTGGCGGTGGAGAGGCTCATGAGCTGGTGGCCGCTGATCTCCCCCAGCACGCCGAGGCTCAGGTCCACCGGCTCCGTGTAAATGACCTCCAGGATGCTGTCCTGGGCGTGGCGGTACACCAGCTCGCCCTCCTCCACGCAGCACGTCAGGAACTTGTTGGAGGAAATGTCCAGCTGGGGAAGGCGCTCCCGGCAGAAGAGATCCCCGGAGGAGCCCTTGGGCGCCAGGACCAGCACGACGTAGTGGTAGGCGGTGTACATGCAGTAGAAGTCCGCGAAGTAGAGGTTGGTGTTGGGGTTGAAGAGGCGCTGGGCCGGGATTTGGAAGCGGTACCGGCCGTAGGGCGAGTCCTGCGGGGGCTGCCCGGTGTTGAACTCGGTGTTGCAGCTGAAGAAGATGCCGTGCAGCATCCCGCTGGTGGGCGAGCCGTGGCTCCCGCTGTTGTCCTTCAGCGACGGCTTCATCACGTTCCCGCAGTGCATCCTGCCACGAGGAGGAGGAGGCGGAGGAAGAGGAGGAGGAGGGACACACAGACAGGCACAGGCAGGGTCAGGGAATGCGCTCTGGGAGCGGGGAGCGTGGGGAATGGGGCTGGGGGTACCTGACGTGCTGGAAATACTCCTTGTGCTGGTTGCGGTAGAAGACGGAGAAGCGCAGCATGCGGCCGGCGATCAGCTCCGCTTTCTCCTGCAGCTGGGCTAGGTGCTCCTTGGCGTAGTCTGGGGACAGGCACGGGGACATCAGGGCGTCTCCATCCCCCTCCAGCAGCCCATCCCTGCCCGCAGCTCCCCGCACCTCCTGCCTCCCACTCATCAGCTGCCGCTCCAACCGGCCCGGCTTGTGCCAGCTCCCGGCATCGCCCCCGTCCTCCTCCGGGCTCCCAGCTCCCAGCATTTCCCTCATCCTCTCTCCCTGCTCGTGGCTCCTGACATGACCCCCGATTTACCCCGTGGCTCCCAGCACTGTCCCCTTCTCGCTCCCAGCTCCTGGGATCGCCCCTGCTCTCCCTCCCTGCTCCCAGCACTGACCCCTTCTCACTCCCAGCTCCCGGGATCGCCCCTCTTCTCCCTCCCTGCTCCCAGCTCCAGGCACCATTTCCATCCTCCCTCTCAGCTCCAGGCATTGTCCTCTTCCCCCTTCCATCTCCCAGCTCCAGGCATCAACCCCACTCTCCCTCCCGGCTCCCAACCCTGCGCTTTGCCCCGTCCTCCTCATCCTCCCGGCTCCCGGCACCGTCCCCATCCCCGGCCCAGCTCCTGACTCCCGGAGCATCAATCCCGTCCTCCCTCCTGGCTCCCAGCATCGCCCCCGTCCTCCTCCCAACTGCCGGCTCCTGGCATCGCCCCCATGCTCCCTCCGGGCTCCCGGGAACGCCGCCATCGTCCCTCCCGGCTCCGGGCCGCCGCGGTCCCGCTCACCCCCGGTGCAGAACTCCACGGTCTCGCTCCAGCCGGACACCAGGTACTCGCCGTCGCTCTGTTTGACCGCCGTCTGCACGGCCACGCTGTACTCGGTGCGGGGGCTCAGGAACCAGTGACCCCGCACCGTCATGGGCAGCGGCACCGCCTTGGCCACCAGCTTGGTGGGGACATCCTGTGCCGAGCGGTGAGGGTCAGGCGGGACAGCGTCCTGCCACCCCCCCGCGGGGATGCTGCCGGGTACCGCACACCCCAAAATATCCACGGAGACCCCCCAAAACACCGTGGTGACACGTCTCGTGTCGCCCCTCCCTCCCGCTCTGTCCCCACAGCGCTCCCCCGTCCCTGTCCCCAAACATGTCCCTGCTGCTATGGGGACACAGAGGTGGGGGTGGTCTCGGGGTCCCCCCGCTGCCGGTGGCATCTCGCGGTGTCAATAGGCCACGGAGCAGCTCCGCAGTGCAGAGCCGTTTCTGTGGCAACGGCGGATGCTGAAGTCGGGAGATAGAGGGGAAAAAAATATCCCACCCCCCACCCCCCCACCCCTTATTATTGGGGAGGAGAGAAAAAAAAATAATGTTAAACATTAAATAGCATCACCGTGGCAACGGCGCTGCTAAAAACGGCCCGAATTAGTGACTCGCAGCACGGGGAGGGGGAGCAGGAGCAGCTCAGCTCCCCCGCGGGGGCTCAGCGCGGTCCGTCACCCCCCGATCCCCGTCCCAGTCCCCTCCGCCAGCGCGTCCCGCGAGGGGAATGACCCAAATTCAGCGCTAGAGAGGGCTAAGAGCCAGTTCCTCCCTGCCAACCCCATCCCCTCTCCCCGCGCAGGGGGTCCCGCGTCCTCCCCCGGCTCACCCGGTGCTTGAACTTGTTGGAATTCTTGTTCTCCTTCTTGTTGAGGTCGATGAAGTAGTGGGTGACCCTCTCCAGGTCCCCCTTCTCCATAGCCCAGGAGATGCGGAAGGAATCGCAGGTGATGTTGTTGATCTCGATGTTTTTGGGGGTGGAGAGCAGCTCCATGGCCGGAGGGGCTGAGCTCCTGCGGGCACAGCGCGGGGTTTGGGGGGTGCCGAGCCCCCTCTCGCTGCCCACGCCGGCTCTGCCAAGGCCGCCCGCGGCAGAGCAGATGGCAGCGGGGTGGAAAAGCGGCCGGGAGCCAGGAATAGGCAGCGCAGGCAGGAGCAGGCAGCGGGACGCCGGGAACAAGCCCGGTCGGGTGCGGGGGCCCCGGCCGCTCCCCCGGGTGCCGCGGGGCCCCGGCGCCACGCCAGCGGGCGTTTCGGGGTTTGCTCAACACCGGGTGGGGAAAGAAAAACAAGGGGAGAGCCGAGGGAGTTGCTGGGAGAGGGGAGGGTTGGACGCGGGCACTGGAAAAGCTGGATCCGCCTTTGCCCCGGCCCGTGCCTCAGTTTCCCTGCGCCCCCGGGAAGGCGCGTTGGGGGTGGGCGATGCTCGCCGAGGGGGGACACGGAGTCACATCCACGGCACGGGAACGGGGGGCTGGAGGCGAGGGAGCCCCCCGCCCTTCAGGCCGGGTTTGTGCAGGGGCAGCCGTGGCAGCGCGGGGCTGCCAACGTGCCACCGCCCCCCCCGTGTGCCCACGGCCACCCACGCCGCGCTCAGCCGCGCGTGTCCCCGTCACTCGGCACCCACGGCCACCCACGGCCACGTGTCCCCCCATCTGCGCAGACCCCCCGCACCCCAAAGCCGCTGCCACCCCCCCCGCCAAAGCCCTTGGGCACGGCAGAAGGTCACCGCTCTGGGGACAAGGTGCCACCTCGCTGCCCCGTCCCCGTGCCCGGCGGTGGCGCAGGAATTCCGCACCGGGATCGTGCCAGCTGGATCGTGTCACCGTGTCCCCAGCGCCTCGTGTCCCCTAAGAGCCCTCAGCGCCCGCCGTGTCCCCCTGCCCTCCGAGCATCCCTCGGCGATGCCATGGGCACGTCGCCCCAACGCCACCGGGGTTTGGCGGCTGCTCCGGTGTCACCGAGCCGGTGAGGCCCTTACCTGGCCGTGCCGGGGGGATGCCGGGGGGCGCGGGGGTGCCGGTGGAGCGGCAGGGCAGGACAGAGAGCCCCGGCGGGGCTGATCCAAGCGGGAAGGACGGAGGATGCCGGAGGGATCGAGGTGGTACCCGGCGATGCCGCGTCGCTGCCTGCGGCTGATGCGACTGGGATCCTCCCAGCCAGCTCGGAAATAGCAAACACCCTCCAGAGGAGGGAGAGGAGAGGGAAAAAAAAAAAAAAAAAAAAAAAAAAAAAAGGGAAAAATAGATATCCAAGGAGCTGCGAGAGAAGGGGGAGGAAGGAAAAAGCTCCCGGCTCTGCCAATGGCATGGAGGGATGCGTGCGGCGTCAGGTGATGGAGGCAGAGTGGGATGTGGATGCAGATTGGGGGTGGGTGGTGGGGAGGTTCTGCCTGTTCCCCCCATTTTTGGGGCCGGGTGGGGGACTGTCCCGGTTGTGCCGCTTGCGGGACAATGGGGACACCCCCTCCCGGCCCCAAAAACGGGACGGAGGAGATGCGTGGGAATGCTGGTACCCACACAGGACCCCCGCGGGAACGGGGTGCAGAGCCCACGGCGGGCGGACGGACTTTTTGTTTTGCACGGAATAAACACCCTTCTTGGAGGGACAAAGCTTTTGTCGGGTGGGCGGGTGGGAGAGCGCCCCAAAAACCTCCTTGCCCCCCAAATTTCTGCCAGGGGGTGCCCACGCATGAACCCCCTCTGTGGGGGTGCTGGCTGTGGAGCTGCAGAGGACCCTGAGGGGGTGGTCGCACTGCAGGAATCCCGTGAGGGTGTTAAATGAAGGGCTGAGTGACCCCCCAAAAATGTCCCCCCCAGCGCTGCCCCCGGTGCCCAGTGCGGAGAGCCGGGCACTGCCCGTCACAAAGATGGCGCCACAGCCCTCACATAAGGTTGGGCAATGCCAACCACAAAGATGGCGGCTCATTGCCAAGCCTGCAGTGCCCTCAGCAAAGATGGCGCCGGCAGCGTCGGCTCAGGAAGAGCGCGCTGTGCGCGACGCATGCGCAGTGGGGGCGGCGAGCCCGTGGCTGCCCGGGCAGGGTAAGGGGTGGCGTGATATTGGGGTGGCTGCAGTTCTGAGCCCTGTCTGGGGGTGCAGGGGGTTCATCACTGGGGTGGCTGCAGTTCTCAGCCCTGTCTGGGGGTGCAGCCCCCCTGAGCGTGCCCCCTCCCCGCAGGATGGCCGAGGGGGGCTCTGGCAGCTCCGGCTCCCCGGGCAGCCTCCGTCCCGGGGGGCTCCCGGGGGCCCGGGGGGTGCTGGGCAGGCGCCCCCCTGCCCCCCCCCTCAGCCCGGGCCGCCTGCCCTCCATCCGCTCCCGGGACCTCACCCTGGGGGGCGTCAAAAAGGTGAGACCCCCCCCTTTTCCCCTAATTGGGGTCACCCACTATGGGATCAGTGACCCCCGTGGCAGGGGGAATGATGAGGAGGGCTTCACTGATATCAGAAGGCTAATTGTTAATATTATATATGCATATTACTATAATATAATATTAATTATTATATTATATTACATATATTTTATATATATATTATATATAATGTTATATTACATCTAAGCTGGATTTGCTAAGTATTTAACTTTGCACAGAATCTCATGGCTGTTAGCTGACAGTCCCAAGTCACACACACACCTGGCCCTAATAGGCCAAGGAAATAAAATATTGTCACTTTGGGTAAACAATTTTAATATTTATGTAATTAATTAAACAATTATAGCAGTAAATATAAATAATACATAAATAATAATGATAAATAATATATGTATATAAGTAATTAAAACCCCCAATTTTTATAGAAACAATTCTTATATTGTATTTTAATTTTTCACAGCAAATAAGCATTGCTTTCCTTTTCTCTGAGGTTCAGAGAACCTGAAACCCAGAAATATTCTGGGGAAGAATTGATTTAAAAACCCCAAAAAAGCAAGTGCCGTGCTGTTCTCGTGAAGAGCAGTGTGACAGCCAGCGTGCCCGGCCCGGCTCTGCGGTGCTGCTGGCTCTGGGCCTTCCTGGGCATGATTTTTTCTCTGTGTTTTGCCCACAGAAAACGTTCACCCCCAACATCATCAGCAGGAAGATCAAGGAGGAGTGAGTGGCCGTGCCCGTGGCTGGGGAGGGGGCACGGGCTGGGCTGGGGGCTGCAGCACCGCTGCCAGCGGGAGAGGGGAGCGCATGGATCCATGGAAATGTCCCACATGGTTCTCAGATATCCATGGAAATGTCTCGAGTATCCATGGAAATGCCCCAGATACCTGTGGGAATTCTCAGATATCCATATAAATATCCATGGGAATGTCTGAGATATCCATGGAGATATCCCAAATATCCACGGAAATATCCCAGATATCCATGGGACTGTCTGAGCTGTCCATGGAGATGTCCCAAATATCCACGGAAATATCCCAGATATCCATGGGACTGTCTGAGCTGTCCATGGAGATGTCCCAAATATCCACGGAAATATCCCAGATATCCATGGGACTGTCTGAGCTGTCCATGGAGATGTCCCAAATATCCACGGAAATATCCCAGATATCCATGGGACTGTCTGAGCTGTCCATGGAGATGTCCCAAATATCCACGGAAATATCCCAGATATCCATGGGACTGTCTGAGCTGTCCATGGAGATGTCCCAAATATCCACGGAAATATCCCAGATATCCATGGGACTGTCTGAGCTGTCCATGGAGATGTCCCAAATATCCACGGAAATATCCCAGATATCCATGGGACTGTCTGAGCTGTCCATGGAGATGTCCCAAATATCCACGGAAATATCCCAGATATCCATGGGACTGTCTGAGCTGTCCATGGAGATGTCCCAAATATCCACGGAAATATCCCAGATATCCATGGGACTGTCTGAGCTGTCCATGGAGATGTCCCAAATATCCACGGAAATATCCCAGATATCCATGGGACTGTCTGAGCTGTCCATGGAGATGTCCCAAATATCCACGGAAATATCCCAGATATCCATGGGACTGTCTGAGCTGTCCATGGAGATGTCCCAAATATCCACGGAAATATCCCAGATATCCATGGGACTGTCTGAGCTGTCCATGGAGATGTCCCAAATATCCACGGAAATATCCCAGATATCCATGGGAATATCCCAGATATCCATGGAAATATCCCAGATATCCATGGGACTGTCTGAGCTGTCCATGGAGATGTCCCAAATATCCACGGAAATATCCCAGATATCCATGAGAATTCTCAGATATCCATGGGAATATCCCAGATATCCCATGGAAATGTCTGAAATATCCATGGAGATATCCCAAATATCCATGGAAGTGTCTGAAATATCCATGGAGATATCCAAAATATCCCCACAAATATCCCAAATAGCTATATAAATATCCCAAATATCCACACAAATACCCCAAATATCCATGGAGATATCCGAAATATCCATGGAAATGTCTGAAATATCCATGGAGATATCCCAAATATCCCCACAAATATCCCAAATATCTATATAAATATCCCAAATATCCATGGAAATCTCAGCTATCCATATAAATATCCCAAATATCCCTATAAATATCCCAAATATCCACACAAACATCCCAAATAGCCACACCAGTATGTCTGGGTGATGTGCAGAGGTCTCTTCCACAAGTCCCGTGTCCTGGCAGGGGCGGGGGCAGGGCAGGGGTGGTTTGGGGGTGATGTGGGGGTGCTGTGCCCCCTCTGCCCCCAGGCCCCGCGAGGACGTGGCAGTCAAGAAGGAGAAGAAGGAGCGGGAGCGGCAGCGGGATGGGCACGGCCGGGGCCGGAACCGGCCCGAGGTCATCCAGTCCCACTCCATCTTCGAGCAAGGCCCCGCTGAAATGATGAAGAAGAAAGGTAAGGGGAGCTTCCCTCTGGTGTTTTTTTGGGGGGTCCCACCTTGGGGTGACCCTGGGCTGGTCCTGTGTCCCCAGCAGGCTCCTGGGACAGGACCGTGGACGTGTCCGACTTCGGCCCTTCCCACATCATCAACATCAAGAAGGAGAAGAGGGAGACGGACGAGGAGACCAAGCAGATCCTGAGGATGCTGCAGAAGGACGATGTCAGTGGCCATGGAAGGCGTGGCTTTGGTGCTACTGGGGGGTGCTGAGTGTCCCTTGTGTCCCCAGGCAGTGCTGAGTGTCCCCTGTGCCCCAGGGTGATGCTGAGTGTCCCCCGTGCCACTGAGGGTTGCTGAGTGTCCCCCATGCCACTGGGGGTTGCTGAGTGTCCCCTGTGCCCCCGGGGGTTGCTGATTGTCCCCTGCCTGTCCCCACAGTTCCTGGATGACCCGGGGCTGAAGAACGACATCCGGAACAAGCCGGTGCAGCTGCCCCTGGCCCACTCGGGGTGGCTCTTCAAGGAGGAGGTGGCAGAGCAGGAGGACACGCAGCCATGGCTCCCTGCATCCAAGGAGGAGAAGATGGAGCTGGACCCGCCAGCGGTGAAAGGTGGGCTGGGCTGGGCTGGACCTGCCAGCAGGGAAAGGTGGGCTGGGCTGGGCTGGGGACAGAGCAGGGACAAGCTGGGGGTGTCCCCCTTTTCCCGGTGCCCACACCCCCCTGTGCAGTGAAGGAAGAGCCGTGTGAGGAGGATCCCAGGCCGGCCCAGCCCAAGGGCCCCCCCGGCTTCCCGCGGGACGTGTCGGCGGCAGAGCTGCTGCAGCGGCTGAGCCTGGCTCAGGAGGAGGAGCTGGTGTTCCTGCAGCTCCCCGACACCCTGCCCGGGCAGCCCCCCAGCCACGACTCCAAACCCAGCAAAGCCGAGCTGCACAGCGAGGACGGGCAGGTGCTGCTGGTGAAGCAGGAGAAGAGCCAGGTAGGGGCACGGTGGGGGTGTCCCCTCATGCCCTGCCCTTCTGTGGTGTCGTCTCCTCCAAGCCCATGAGGATGTCTCCCCATCCCATGATGTCCCTCCATCCCATGGTGTCCTTTCCCCCACATCCCATGATGTTCCCCCCATCCCGTGGTGTCCTCCTCCTATCTTGTGGTGTCCTTTCCCCTCCAATCCTGTGCTGTCCCCTCATCCCATGGTGCTGTCCCCCCACAATTGCATGGGGTGATCCCAATCTCACAGGATGAACCCCATCCCATGGAGTGATCCCAGTCCCAGGGGCTGATCCCAATCCCAGGGGCTGATCCCAATCCCATGGCATGATCCCACTCCCGGGGGGTGATCCCAGTCCCAGTGGGTTGATCCCAGTGCCAGGGCTGATCCCAGTCCCAGTGGGGTGATCCCAGTGCCAGGGCTGATCCCAGTCCCAGTGGGGTTATCCTAGTCCCAGAAGGGTGATCCCAGTGCCAGGGCTGATCCCCGTCCCAGTGGGGTTATCCCAGTCCCGGTGGGGTTATCCCAGTCCCGGTGGGGTGATCCCAGTCCCGGTGGGGTGATCCCAGTCCCAGTGGGGTTATCCCAGTGCCAGGGCTGATCCCAGTCCCAGTGGGGTTATCCCAGTCCCAGTGGGGTTATCCCAGTCCCAGTGGGGTTATCCCAGTCCCAGTGGGGTTATCCCAGTGCCAGGGCTGATCCCAGTCCCAGTGGGGTTATCCCAGTCCCAGTGGGGTTATCCCAGTCCCAGTGGGGTTATCCCAGTCCCAAGTGGGGTTATCCCAGTCCCAGTGGGGTTATCCCAGTCCCGCTGTGCCGTGGCAGGAGGCGAAGCAGGCAGAGAACACCTGCACCCTGGCCGACCTCCCCGAGGGCCAGGTGGGGAAGCTGCTCATCCGAAAGTCAGGAAAAGTGCAGCTGGTGCTGGGCAAGGTCACCCTGGACGTGACCATGGGCACCCCCTGCTCCTTCCTACAGGTATGGAAGGGACCCGATTTGGAGGGGTTTCACCCCAAAATAACCCCCCAGGGGGTCGTGCTGGTTGTTTGCCATGACAACAGCGGGGAGGGGTCCTGCTGGTCCCCTCTGGGAGCTTTGGGGTGTCCCGGGGGTGCTCAGGGGTGTTCGTGCCCCCGGAACAGGAGCTGGTGTCCGTCGGCATCGGGGACAACCGCACGGGTGAGATGATTGTGCTGGGCCACGTGAGGCACAAGCTCGTCTGCTCCCCGGATTTCGAGGCTCTCCTGGAGCACCGGCACCGGTAGCCGAGGGGGTCCCGGCCCCCCACCCCGGGATGGACCCTCAGCCCCTCCAGATGTGCCTTTGGGGCGTGGGGAGGGGGCTCGGGCAGTGATGCCAGTGCTGAGGGATCCCGAGGGATCCAGAGCCAGCCCCCAGCTCCTTCCAGCCCCGCAGGTGTCCGGCCGTGTCCCCCACACCGGCGGCTTCCCCCCAGTGCCAAACGGGGATCTCGGGGTGCGTGGGGCCGTGCTGTGTCCCCCAGCTCTGTGGAAACGCTGGTGGGAGCAGGACACACGTCCTGGGGGAAAAACCTGGAATAAAACCTCTTTTCCCCCTGTGTCAGTCTTGTTCTGTCACCTCTGCTGGGCCCTGCAAGGCCTTGGGGTTCCTGGGCGTGGCTGCAGCGGGTGGGGGCCACTGGGTGACCCCCACCCTGACCTGGGGATGATGGGGCTGTGATCGTGGAGCCAAAGGTCCCTGGATGCCACCAGCCCCGGGGCAGGGAGCAGGGCTGGGGGCACTGACCGGCAGGGCAGGGTTGCCCCTCTCACGTTGATGTCCCACCCCATCCCATCCCAACCCCCCACGTCTGACCTTACCCTCCCCATCCCATGTCATCCCCCACTCCTGCCCCATCACACCCCATCCTCCCCATCCCATAGTCCTGCTGCTTCCCATCCCATCCTACCCCACCCCATCCCATTTCACCCCCCGAATTCCATCTTAACCCTCTCCTGCCCATCCCATTTTACTGCTGCATCCCATCCCATCCCATCCCACCCCATCCCATCCCATCCCACCCTACCCCATCCCATTCCCACCCCATCCCACTTTACCCTCCGAATTACATCTTAACCCTTTCTCACCCATCCCATATTACCCCCATTCTTACCCCATTCCATTTTACTGCCCAAATTCCATCTTAACCCTTTCTTGCCCATCCCATATTAACCCTGTTCCTACCCCATCCCATTTTACCCCCCAAATTCCACCTTACCCTTCTCCTGCCCGTCCCATTTTACCCCCAGTCCCATATCGTCCCCCCAACCCGTTCTCGCCCCCATCGCACCTTCCTTTCCTCCCGTCATGCCCCGCCCTATTTTGCATAACCCCGCCCATTCCACATCGGACCACGCCCCCTTCCAGCCCCCGCCCTTTCCTCGCGCGCCGCCCTCCGCCCGGGCGCGCCGCGCCGTGGGCGTGTCCTCGGGGGCCGCCCAATCAGCGCCGCGTCCGCTGGTGGGCNNNCCCCGCCGTGCCCATGGCCCGGGGGCTCCGCGGGCTCGCGGGCTGCTCCCCTCGCCTGCCCTCGCCCGGCCCCGCCCAGCCCCGAGCCGCGTCGTCGCCGTTCCCCGAGCTGTTCCGCGGGCTGGGCCTGGATGAGCGGCCTCTGGAGAGGCCCCTCGGTAGGTGCCGGTGGTGAGCGGGTGCAGGGGGCCGGGCGAGCCCCGCTCCCCGCTCACGGCAGCCCTCCTCCCGCAGGCCGGGGCGGCGCTGGCGATTGCAGGGCTGTGGCTGCGCCCGGCCCGCTGCAGAAGGAGGAGGAGAAGGACAAGGGGGCAGCGCTGGTGGCGCTCCCCACGCGTGGGCAGTGAGTCCCCCACATCCCCAGTGCCCACCCTCCTCTGGGTCCTCCTGTCCCCCTCCATCTTTCCTGTCCTTTCTGTGTTCTGCCCCCATTCCTTCTCCCCCTCCATCCCCTTTGTCTCCCCGTGCCCCCTATGTCCGCCGTGTTCCCATATTCCCTCTGTGTTCCCCATCCCCCTGTCCCTCCTGTCCCTTTATCCCAAAACTCTCCTGTTCTGAGCCCCCAGGTGCTGTGGGGCAGGAGGAGTAGGGGGATTTCGGGGGCGGTCATCGCTGGGGGTTTGCAGCCAGGCCACCCCCAGTGTGTCCCCAGCGTGTGCCAGGGCTGACCGCAGCCCCCTGGGGACGCAGGATCCTGTGGAAAGGCAGAGGGGACCCGCTGCCCACCCAGCCTGGACGCGCCGCCACCGCCGTGCCCGCCCCGTGCCCGCCCGGCCCCCAGCCCTGCCCGATGCCCGTGCCCACCCCGGAGACCCCCCCAGCTGCTGCCAGGCCGTGAGTGGCGTCCCCAGCGCCGCGTTTTGGGGTGCTGCCGGGTCGCTGCTGACCCCCTGTCCCTCGCAGGGCCCAGGGGACGAAGGCGGTGGCGAAGGGAGCCGCCATCCCCGTGGGGCTGAACTTCGTGAAGATCCACTGCCAGAACGAAGCTGTCTACCAGTACCACGTGACCTTCAGGTGATGGTGGGGGGCCGGGGTCCCCCACGGCCCCTCGAGGGTCCCCCACAGCCCCTCGAGGTTGGGGTGTCCCCTGGCAGAGCCCTCTGTGTCCCTCCTGCTGTCCAGGCTGCCATGAGGTGAAGCACAACAAAGAGCTCTGGGTTTTCGCCTTCAGGGGGGATTTTTGGGGGGCTGAGCGAGGTCTGGGGGGGGCAGAGGAGGGAGAAAAGCCCCTGTGTGCCCCCAGCCCCGAGGTGGAGTGCAAGGCTGCCCGCTTTGCCATGCTGAAGGAGCAGCACGCCGTGACCGGGGACGTGATGGCCTTCGACGGCTCCATCCTCTTCCTGCCCATCCAGATCCCCAAGGTAAGGGGTAGGGGGGTCTCCCCCTTTTGGGGGTACAGGCGTGCCCCTGTTTTGGGTGGGAGAACCCCTTCTGGCCCTGCCAAAGGTCAGCCTGAAGGCTCAGAGGAGCAGCGACGGGCAGGAGATCTCCATCAACATCCAGATGACCAAAATCCTGGAGCCCAGCTCGGATCTCTGCATCCCCTTTTACAACGTGGTGTTCCGCAGGTGAGAGACCAGAGACCCTCCCTGAGCTCCAGGGTGGGGACCCCTTTCCTGCTCCTTCCTGTCCGTCCTCATCCAGCTCTGCTTTTCCTTGCTTAGGGTGATGAAAATCTTAAACATGAGCCTGGTTGGGAGACATTTCTTTGAGCCTGCCCAGGCCACCACCCTTCAGAAATACAGGTGGGTGCTGGCACCTTCCCACAGGATCGTCCCTGTTTCCCTGGAAACTGGGAAGTGTTCCCAGGTCAGCCTGACTTTGGAGTGGCTGTTCTGAGAAGTTGGGAGCTGGGAAATGAATCCCTGAGTTTTGGGAGCTCCTTGGCTGCTCTGGGTTAAGCCAGGCCTCTTTCCCTCTGGGCACAGCCTCCATATCTGGCCGGGATACGCCGTCAGCATCCGGAGGAAGGACGGGGGGCTCTTCCTCATGGTGGACGCCATCCACAAGATCATCCGCAGCGAGTCCGTGCTGGGCGTGATGTGAGCACAACAAAAACCCCAAAAGCTGTGGGGACTGAGGTGCTTTATTTTCGGGGTAGCACAGGGCGGGAGCGTTCCGTGCCTCTCCTCTTTTCCCAGGCAAACCATCCACTCGCAGAGCCAGAGGTCGTTCCAGGACGAGTGCACCAAGCAGCTGGTGGGCAGCGTGGTCATGACTCGCTACAACAACCGCACCTACCGTGTGGATGACATCGACTGGGACAAGACCCCCAAGGACACTTTCACCCTGGCCAGCGGGCAGGAGATCACCTTCGTGGAGTACTACAGGTGAGGAGCACTGCTGGATCAGCCCGTGGGAGTGGGCAGGGAGCTGTCTGAGGTGGGGCAGTGGCAGCAGGGAGGTTTTGCCCCACAGGAGGGGTTTGGGGCTGGACGTTCTGCGAGATGCGTTCCAAACCGAAATGGCAGGGTTGTGTGACGATGCTGTTTTTCCAGCAAGACCCACGGGATCACCATCAGGGAACTGGACCAGCCCCTGCTTGTCCACAAGCCCAAGGAGAAACAGACACCAGAGGGGAGGGTGAGCTGGGCACAGAGAGATCCATGGGCTGCTCTGGGCTCCTCCAGCCCCTGGGGAGAGCAGGAATTCCCAGCCCCTGGAATGCTGACGTGCCTGTCCCTCCCTGCAGCGCCAGCTGAAGATGGTGCTGCTCGTGCCAGAGCTCACCTTCCTCACCGGCCTCTCCGACCTCCGCAAGAACAGTCGGATGCTGAAGGTCAGAGCCCGTCTCCTGCCCTGCTCCCTGCTTTCCCCAGAGTTTGGGGGGAGCCCTCCCTCACCGCTGGGTGTTCCTGGAGCAGGAGGTGATGTGGGAGATGGTGCAGAGTCCCCAGCAGCACTACCAGCGCCTCACCAGCCTCCTGCGCCGCATCCGCGACACCGCGGACGCCTCCCGGGAGCTGGAGCGCTGGGGGCTGCTCCTGGACACGGATATCTACAGGGTAAGGCCTGCGGGGCTCCTGCCCTCCCCTGGCCGCCTGGCAGTGGAGGCAGCTCCTCAGATTCCTGCTCTGCCCAGACCCAGGGTCACATCCTGCCCGTGGAGCGCATCAACCTCCGGCACCGCTCCTTCCATCCCGCCGAGGAGCTGGGCTGGCACCGCGAGGTGACGAAGGAGGTGCCCATCGCCGTGGTGAGCAGCAGCCTGCCCTGCCTGGGAGGGCTGGCCTGGGTTTTCCTGAGCGCTGCCATTCTGGCTGAGCCTCTTCCAGCACAAACCTTGCCCTTGTTTGTGTTGGATTTGTGCTCCGGCCTGTTTTTCCGAAGGAGCTGGAGGTATGTGGCTGTGGTGTCTGCTTTCCCACCTCATCCCAGGGTGGAGGGAGCCTTTCACATGCAGGAATTGGATGGAATTCAATCCAAATTTCTCTTGGGCTGCTTTTCCTTTCCCAAATTCCCCTCTGTGCTCCAGATTTCTCTTGGGCCACATTCCCTTTCCCAAATTCCCCTCTGTGCTCCAGATTTCTCTTGGGCCATTTTCTCTCTCCAAAATTCCCCTCTGTGCTGCAGGTTCCTCTTGGCCCGAATTCTCTCTCCCGGATTTCCCCTCTGCCAAGCTCCCTGCTGTGCTCCAGGTTCCTCTAGGCCCAGTTTTCCTCTCCCAAATTTCCCTCTGTGCTTGGTAGATTTCTCCTCTCCCAAACAGGAACGTGCCGCACGGATTGGGAGCCGCAGGAACACCCCCAAACCACGGCCTGTCCTGCCTTTTCTCCCAGATCTCCATCAACTCCTGGCTCCTGATCTATCCCAAGCGGCTGCAGCACCTGGCCAAGGACCTGCTGGCAGCCATGAGGAGCAGCTGTGGGGCCATGGGGATGCAGGTGGGACAGCCCACGGTGCAGGAGCTGCGGGACGACCGCATCGAGACCTACGTCAGGGCCATCCAGAGCTCCTTGGGGAGCCAGGTGAGCAGGGGGGACATCCCTGAGGGATCTTTGGAAGGGTGGGATGGGAGCCTAGACCGTCCAGAGCTCCTTGGGGAGCCAGGTGAGGAGCAGGGACAGCCCTGGGGATCTTTGGGAGGGTGGGATGGGAGCCTAGACCATCCAGAGCTCCTTGGGAAGCCAGGTGAGCAGTGGGGACAGCCCTGGGGGACCTTTGGGAAGCACCTGGAGGGACTCAGCCTGCAGAAGAAGAGGCTCAGGGGGACCTTATTTTTCCCTAAAAAACCCATGACAGGAGTGTGGAGTCAGGTGGGGGTTGGGAACAAAGGATAGGACAAGAGGGAACGGCCTCAAGCTGTGCCAGGGAGGCTCAGGATAGACAGCAGGAGGAATTTTTTCATGGAAAAGGTTGATAAATACATGGAAAAGGTTGATAAATACATGGAAAAGGCTGATAAATGGGAATGGGCTGCCCAGGGAGGTGGTGGAGTCCCCATCCCTGGAGGTGTGGCTGTGGCCCTTGGGGACATGATTTGCTGGTGACCTTAGGTTTGGCTCAGTGATCCAGGAGGGCTTTTCCAACCTGAGCAATTCCATGATTCCCCTCAGGACAAGGTGCAGCTGCTCCTGTGCATCATCCCCAGCGGCCGGGACGACGTCTACGGGGCCATCAAGAAGCTTTGCTGTGTGCAGAGCCCGGTGCCCTCCCAGGTGGGCTGGGACCCCCATCCCTGGGAATCCGTGGCTGTCTCCAGCCTCACTTTTCCCTGAGTTTTCCTTCTCCACAGGTGATCAATGCCCAGTCCCTCATGGGCCATCCTGGCAAGATCAGGAGCGTGGTGCAGAAAGTTCTGCTGCAGATCAACTGCAAGCTGGGCGGGCAGCTCTGGGGGGTTGACATCCCACTGGTAAGGCAGGAACACCCTGGGATGAGCCTGGAAGCTCTGGAAGGGGGAGGAGCTGGATTATTGTTGGATTATTTGGGTTCTTGTTGGATTATTTGGGTTCTTGTTGGATTAGTGTGGGCACGGGCTGGATGAACCAGCTGGAGAATCGGGGTTGGCTTCTCTTGGGTGCTCATGAGTCCCTTGGAGCTGGAGGGATCCAAGCCTGGAGGTGTTTGATTTATCCCTAAATCCACCTGGCTGTTTTCCTCCCTTACAGAAGCAGCTGAGGGTTGTTGGCATGGTCTTTATCCCTAAATCCCACCTGCTTTTCCTGCCTCCAGAAACATCTCGCAGTTGTTGGCATGGACATTGCTCCTAAATCCCACCTGCCCCTCTAACCTCCATTATCCCTAATTCCCACTTCTTTTCCCCCTTTCCAGAAGGAGCTGGGTGTTGTGGGCATGGACATTCTCCCTAAATCCCACCTTTTTTCCTGTCTCCAGAAACACCTGGTGGTGGGTGGCATGGACATTGTCCCTAAATCCCACCTGCCTTTCCCTGCTCCATTATCCCTAAATCCCATCTTCTTTCCCCTCCAGAAGCAGCTGATGGTTGTAGGCATGGACATGATCCCTAAATCCCATCTCCTTCCCTCTCCAGATGCATTTCACTGTTGTGGGCATGGCCATTATCCCTAAATCCCATCTTCTCCCCTCCCCAGAAGCAGCTGATGGTCGTGGGCATGGACATCCACCACAGCAGGAGCCAGGGCATGCGCTCTGTCATCGGCTTCGTGGCCAGCATGAACCAGTACGTGGCTTCCTGGGGAAGGGGGGAGGTTTTCCAGCTCTGCCCTGGCAGTTTGCAGGATGTCCCACCCCAAACCCCTTTCCTTGCCCGGGCAGGGGGTGAGGGTGCTGCTCCCCCCGAGCTGCTGCGCTCAGCCAGATCTCCCCGGCGCTGGGAAGGGGCTGGGAATGCTGAGCCAAGGCCGGGTTGGGGTTGCACAAGGCCTCAGAGGACTTTGCCTGGTGCTGGGGGGGTTCCTCCAGGCTGCTCATTCCCCTTCCATCCCCAGCATCCTCACCAAGTGGTACTCCAGGGTGGTTTTCCAGATGCCCCACCAGGAAATCGCCGACAGCCTCCGGCTCTGCCTCTCCCAGGCCCTCAAGCGCTTCTACGAGGTGAGGCCGACCAAAACCACCCTGCTGTGCTTCCACATTCCCCCAAAACCAAGGGAAAAGCTCCCAGGCTCCAGCCTGGATACGTGCAGGGGAGCAAAGCTCCCTGGCAGCCTTTGGACTGGCTGTGGAGCTGGGACAGCTCATCCTTATCTGGGGCCGTGCCTCGGGGTCAGTTTGCTCAGAGGGAAGTGCCACGTTACAGCTCCCAGAGGCTGTCCCTTGTCCCCAGCGTGAGAAAAGCAGCCTGTGACAGGGCAAGGACCAGGGAAAATCCCAGCTCTTGGGATTTTCCCAGAGAAGCCTCATCCCTGGCAGTGCCCAAGGCCAGGCTGGAGCCCCTGGGGCAGTGGGAGGTTCCCTGCCCATGGCAGGGATGGGATGGGATGAGCCTTAAGGCCCTTCCAGCCCAAACCATTCCAGGATTCTTTGATTTGATTTCCCCATCCCTCTGTGGATGCTGCAGGAGCAGCCCTGGACGCTGGGAATTTGCTGGGCAGGAGGGCCTGGAGGGACAGGGAATGGCTCCCACTGCCAGAGGGCAGGGATGGATGGGATATGGGGAAGGAATTCCTGCCTGGGATGGAATTCCCAGAGGAGCTGTGGCTGCCCCATCCCTGGAAGTGCCCAAGGCCAGCTTGGAGCAGCCTGGGGAAGTGGAAGGTTCCCTGCCCATGGCAGGGGGTGGAATGAGATGATTTTAAGGCTCCTTGCCACCCAAATCAGTCTGGAATTCTGTGACGAATTCAAACACATCCCTTCCCAAACCCACCCCAAGCTGCATTTTTTTTTTTCACTGTGGATCAAATTCCCAGCTCCATCCCAACACCCAAACTTCTCCTGAGCAGGGAATATTTCCCCACCTCCCTCAGCCAGCCCTGTGCATGGCAGGGAGGTAAAAAGGAGCTGATTTTCCCCATTTCCCCCCCCAGCTGAACCACTCCCTGCCCATGAAGATCGTGGTGTACCGGGACGGGGTGTCCGACCCCCAGCTGGACACGGTGCTCAAGTACGAGGTGCCCCAGCTCCAGAAGAGCTTCCACACCTTCCAAAATTACCAGCCCAGCCTCGTGGTTGTGGTTGTCCAGAAGCAGCTGAGCGCCAACTTCTACTGCCTGACAGGAGAGGAGTTTGTGTCCCCTCCCCTGGGCACCGTCATCGACCACGGCGTCACCAGCTCGGGCCGGTGAGGGGCACAGCTGGGCTGGGGGACAAAACACCCTGGGGAGGGATAAAAAACACCCCCAGGGGAAAAAATTAACCTGGCTGTAAAAAAAATGGAGATGGAAATGCCCCGGAGTGGGAAAAAATCAACCCTCGGTGTGAAAAATAAGAGCAGCCCAAGGTGCAAAAAAAAAAATGGTTGTAAAAATAGCCCAGGGTGCAAAAAGAACCTCAGGGTGCAAAAAAAAAATTCCCAGGGTGACAAAGAAATTGTAAAAATAGCCCAAGGTGTTGGGAAAAATCCAGCCCAAGGTGTTAATGGTGTGTAAAAGCCCCCCAGTTTGGAAAACAATGATTGTAAAAATACCATCAGGTATTTTGTCATTTATTGTTTTTACAAAATAAAACACTGGGCTGTAAAAGCACCTTGAGTGCAAAAAAAAAAAAATGGTTCTAAATGGTTTATTTATTTTTTTGCACCCCAGAGCACAAAAAAAAACAACCCAGAGTGAAAGAAAAATGGTGGTAAAAACACCCCAAAGTGCAAAAAAATCCCTGTGGAGAGCAAAACTTAAACCCTTGTGGTTCAAACCACCATTCTGGGGTGCAAAAACCAGCTCAGTCTGGGCTGCAGAGCACCCTGAGGTGCAAAAATTCTCATTTTGGGGTGGAAAAAAAAGAGAATTGGGGTTTGTTTTGCCCTCACAGGCAGGATTTCTTCCTGCTGGCCCATCACTCCCGGCAGGGCTGCAGCATCCCCACGCGCTACATCTGCATGTGGAACACGGCCAACCTCAGCTCCGAGCACCTCCAGAGGTAAGGGGGGCCCTGGGACCCCAAAATCCTGCCTGGGGAATGGGGGAGACCCTCAGAATCATCCCGGGGAAATGCAGGAATCCCCGAGTTCCTGAGATCCTGCAGCAACCCAAAATATTCCAGAGGAAAGGGGAGGGACCCTCGAAATCATCCAGGGGGAATGCAGGAATCCCAGAGTTCCTGAGATCCTGCAGCCCCCCAAAATCCTCCCTGGGGAGTGGGAGGGACCCTCGAAATCATCCAGAGGAAATGCAGGAATCACAGAGTTCCTGAGATCCTGCAGCAACCCAAAATATTCCAGAGGAAAGGGGAGGGACCCTCAAAATCATCCAGGGGGAGTGCAGGAGTCCCAGAGCCCCCAATATACTTCAGCCCCCCAAAATCCTTCCTGCGGAGTGGGAGAGACCCTTAGAATCATCCAGGGGAAATGCAGGAATCACAGAGTTCCTGAGATCCTGCAGCCCAAAATATTCCAGAGGAAAGGACCGGGATTTCTGCAGCTGCCCAAGATTCCAGAGCCCCCCCAGTTCCCTGGGCAGGGTTCTTACAGCCCCCCAAAATCCTCCCTTGGGAGTGGGAGAGACCCTCCAAATGCCATTTCTCCCCGTCCCAAAGACAGGGACAGCTAGGAGCAAGTTCTGAGAGAGATCCATCCCCTTTCCTGGCAATCCCAAATCCTATTTCTCCCTGTCCATGGGACAGGGACACCTGGGAGCAGAGAGATCTGCATCTGGATCCATCCCCATTCCCAGCAATCCCAAATCCCATTTCTCCCTCTTCCAGGAGGGATCTGGACCTGGCTCCATCCCCTTTTCCAGGAATCCCAAATCCCATTTCTCCCTCTTCCAGGAGGGATCTGGACCTGGCTCCACCCCCTTTTCCAGGAATCCCAGATCCCAGAGGAAAGGGGAGGGACCCTCGAAATCATCCAGGGGGAATGCAGGAATCCCAGAGTTCCTGAGATCCTGCAGCCCCCCAAAATCCTCCCTGGGGAGTGGGAGGGACCCTCGAAATCATCCAGAGGAAATGCAGGAATCACAGAGTTCCTGAGATCCTGCAGCAACCCAAAATATTCCAGAGGAAAGGGGAGGGACCCTCAAAATCATCCAGGGGGAGTGCAGGAGTCCCAGAGCCCCCAATATACTTCAGCCCCCCAAAATCCTTCCTGCGGAGTGGGAGAGACCCTTAGAATCATCCAGGGGAAATGCAGGAATCACAGAGTTCCTGAGATCCTGCAGCCCAAAATATTCCAGAGGGAAGGACCGGGATTTCTGCAGCTTCCCGAGATTCCAGAGCCCCCCCAGTTCCCTGGGCAGGGTTCTTACAGCCCCCCAAAATCCTCCCTTGGGAGTGGGAGAGACCCTCCAAATGCCATTTCTCCCCGTCCCAAAGACAGGGACGGCTAGGAGCAAGTTCTGGGAGAGATCCATCCCCATTCCCAGGAATCCCAAATCCCATTTCTCCCTCTTCCAGGAGGGATCTGAACCTGGCTCCATCCCCTTTTCCAGGAATCCCAAATCCCATTTCTCCCTCTTCCAGGAGGGATGTGCACCTGGCTCCATCCCCTTTTCCAGGAATCCCAGATCCCATTTCTCCCTGTTCCAGGACGGATCTGGACCTGGAATCCCAAACCCCAATTCCCTCCCTGTCCCCAGGCTGACCTTCAAGCTGTGTCACCTGTACTGGAACTGGCCGGGCACCGTCCGTGTCCCTGCCCCCTGCAAGTACGCCCACAAGCTGGCATTCCTGGTGGGCCAGGTCCTGCACCACGAGCCCAGCGCCCACCTCTGCGAGCAGCTCTTCTTCCTTTAGCCTGCCAGGACCCAGGAATCCGGGATTGCACCGGGAAATCCGGGATTGCGCCTGGAATTCTGCTCCCCGCCCGCTGCCGTATGCCCCCCTGCCAAGGGGGATCTGCCTCAGTTCCCAGTTCTGGTGTTAATTTATTCTTTGTTTGTTGCTTTAGGGGATGCTGGGGATTGCAGCAGCATCCCCAAGGCTGTGGGAATTTGGGAATTCTCCCCGTGGGGATGAACCCAAAGGAATATCCTGCTGCTTTCCAGCCCTCCCAGTACAGGGGCTTGAGTTGATGAGCCCCAAAGTGCTGCTGCTCCCACAGCTCATCCCTGTGCAGGTGCTGGATGAAAATCCCAAAGATTTCAGGGGATTTTTTTCCCCCCCCAGTTTCTTGCATTTCCATGCAGGTTTAAAGTTTTGGGGTTTTTTTTTTTCCTGGGCTTTTCCAAGCTGCTGTTGAACAAAGCAGCTCCAGTTTGGCCGGTTCTCCTGTCCTTGAGGAGTCACTGGTTTTCCAAGGAGAATTCTTTGTGGATTCAGGTCGTTACCCCAGGGAAAGGTTGGAGTTTTCACCTATTTTAGGTGCTTTTTTTGCCTTACTCAAGTTGCAATCCCCTCATTTTTCCCTTGGCTGTAACCAGTTTTTTGGTTCTTTCCAATAAAATCGTTGCTGGCAGCTGCTCCCTGGTGGATTTTGGGGGGGGTGCTGGTGGCCCCATCCTGCCCCTCATTGCCAGGGGCTCCCAGGATGGAGCAGGGACACCCAGGGGACACCAGGGCTGTCACCTTGTGCCCCGGGTTAATCATTTATCCCTGTTTATTTGCCAATCCCAGCGGACTTTGGCAGCGTGGCCCAGCCTGGGGTGGGATTTAGGAACAAATCTTGGTCCTGGGGGTGCTGGGCTGGGGTTTTGGGGGTCCCCCAGCTCTGCCTGACCCCGTCCAGCAGCATTTTCTATCCCAGCTCTGCCTGTTCCTTATCCCTGGCAGCTCCTTGGCACAGGCAGAGGAGCCAGGCTGGCTCTGGCTGCCAGGATTTGGACCCCCCTGGGCTTTTCCAGGGGGTCCTTGGGGTCCCCCAGCCCCACCCGAGGGGTTGAGGGGTGGTCGGTGGTCCCAGGGGTGTTTGGAGGGTCCTTGGGGTGCCCTGTGCCCCTAAAGGGTGTTTGGGGAGGTGCCCCCAGGGGGGTGTTGGGGGAATCTTGGAGGGGTCCTGGGGGTCTTGGTGCCCTCGGGGTGGGTGTTCAGTGGGTTCCGGGGGGTCCCAGTACCCACGGGTGAGTTTTGGGGGGTCTTGGTGCCCTCAGGGTGGGTGTTTTGGGGCAGTCTGGGGGGTCCCAGGTGGGATTTTGGGTGTCCCAGGTGGGATTTTGGGTGTCTCAGGTGGGATTTTTGGGGGTCTCGGTGCTCCTGGGGTGAATGGGGCTCTTTGGGGGTCCCAGTGGCCCAGGAGGGGTGTTGGGGCAGCTTGGGGTTCCCAAGTGGGATTATTTAAGGGGTCCCAGATGGGATTTTGGGGGTTCCGGGTGGGATTTTTTAGGGAGTCCCAGGTGTGGTTTTGGGGTTCCTGAGTGGGATTTTTTAGGGGGTCCCTGGTGAGTTTTTTGGGGTTCCTGGATGGGGTTTTTGGGGGGTCCCGGACAGGGTTTTGGGGGTTCCCGGGTGGGATTTTTCAGGGGTTCTGGGTGAGATTTTTGGGGGTTCTTGAATGGGATTTTTGGGGGTCCTGGGGGAGATTTTTTGGGGGTTCTTGAATTTGCTCTCCATCTTGCTGCTGTTGATAGCTGGTAAGCTGCTACCAGCTGATGGCTTCAGAAATGTTGTTGTAACGACACAAATCATAGGTGCTGTCAGCAGCAGCTCTGAAATCAGCCAGCTGACTCTGTGTGCCCTCTCCTGTTGGCAGAGCTTGTCCCTTGGCTGTGGTGCTCCCTCCTAAGCTGGCCCTGGAGACTTCATGGAGATGATCTCTCTTGGTGACTTCTCTTGGCACATTAAGGGAAAAGAGCTGCTGCAATGACCCGGGTGGGATTTTTGGGGGGTCCTGGGTGAGACTTTGGGGGTCCCGGGTGGTATTTTTGGGGGCTCGCGCCGCTGCACCGCTGAGGGGGCGTGCCTTGAGGCGGAGGGGGCGTGGCCGGGGCAGCGGCAGCCAATGGGAGCGCTCCCCGTGCCGGTGGCCGCGCGTGCGCCCTGCGCGGCCCCGAGCGGCGGCGGCGGGAGCGGGAGCGGAGGTAGGACAGGGATGGACCGGGATAGACCCGGACGGGCCGGGATGGACCGGGATAGGCACGGCAGTCCTGCCGTGCGACGGGGAGCCGGCTGCGGGGACGGGCCCCGCGGGGACGGAGGCAGCGGAGCGGGGGGAGCGGGCTGGGGCCGGCCCCGAGCCCCGGATGGGGATGGGGGATGCAGGGAGGGATGAAGGATGCAGGGAGCGGCTGTTTGGGGTTTGGGACCGGTCCTAGAGCCCTGGGGCAGCCCTGGGAGCTCGTTTTGGGGCAGCCCGTGGGGTCTGGGGCAGGGGAGGGTGCAGGACCCTGTTAGGGGGTGCAGGACTCAGTTTTGGGGTGCAGGGCCCAGTTATGGGGTCTGGCACCACCAGTGGAAGCTCTGGGACCAGGCAGCGGCGGTGGGATGGGGAGAGGGGTGGGATGGGGCAGGGACCGGGCGGCAGCAGCAGCTCCGGCCCGGGGGGCACTGGCAGGAATGGGGGTCCCTGTGGGGTGCGATGCCCGGGGGATCTCCCGGTTCCGCTGCCCGTCTGCCCGGCCCGGGCTGCGATCACGGGGAAGGAAGGGACAGGACTCTGTCCGGAGGCTCGGGGACAGCCAGGGCGTCGGTGAGCCAGGAGCGGCTCCGCTGCCAGCCCCGGGACAGCCGCAGGGCTCCGGGCAGCGCTCCTTGCCGCAGGACTCGTGGGGCGCCGCTTGCTCCGCAGGCCCCGCTGGCTCCCACAGCACCGGGATGGGCCCGGGGCGTGGAATTTGGGGTCCCGCTGGCCCTGTGCCCCCCGCTTTGCGGCAACCCCTGCGCGGGATTTCGGGAAGCTGACGTCGCCGGGGTCACGCTCGGCTGTGCCAGCGGTTTTATTCCCGGCGCCGAGCGGCGGGGGGGATGTGCGGATTGCGGCCGGGACCGGTGATCTCCGGGAAGCGGAGCCCAGGCAGACGGGAAGGCTTTGCCCGGCCTCGGGAGCTGCGTGCTGCTGTCGTGGCATCGCTCCCGGGCACATCCCTCCCGGGCAGCCGTCCCTCCGCGTGGCAGCGGTTTGTCCCCGTGCCCCGGCCCGATAAAGTAGGTCAGGCGCTGGCTCCGGGCTCCCGGAGCGCATCCCGGTGGAAGGACGCCCTTGAAGGTAGCGGCCAGGAGGCCGGGGGGCTCCGGGGGGGTCGCAGCTGGCGGTGGGGATGGCGAGGCTCGCTGTTCTTTGGTGTTTGTCCCGGGATGCTGGGCTGGGTGTGCTCGGCACGCTCCTGCCCTGCCGTGCCCCGGGGTTCCAGCAGCTCGGAGCCCCCCGGGGTTCCAGCAGCTCGGAGCCCCCCGGGGTTCCTGCAGCTCGGAGCCCCCCGGGATGTTCCTCTTCGGGCCCTTCTCTCCCGCAGGGGCGGCTCCTCCACCTCGTTTTGCCCTAAAACGGAGCGAGCCCGTGCAGCGCTGCCCGGCTCTGCCCTTCCTGCCTTTCCTTTGGCAGCGGGGGAAAGTTGAGGTCCGGTTTTCCAGCCTGGGTGTATCCGGCTCAGCCCGGCTTTGGGAGAAACCCCCGGGAGGGGTTTTGGCAGCGGAGAGAGCTGCGTGCCTTGGCACGGGCCGGGCCGTCGGTGTGCAGGGAGCGGGAGGGCTCCCGGTGGCACCGGGGATTTGGGCGGCGCTCGGATGGAAAGGGCAGCCAGCGGGACGTGCGGCCAGCCGGGACAAACCTTTGGCACGTTGGGCTGTGTGCCAGCACCTGTGGGAGTCACCGGCAGCCTGGATGTCCCACGGAGCCCAGGAGGACCCACCTGGAAGGGTGGATTGGGATAGAGAGGCAGGGGAAGGGGTTGGGCTCGCTGGGGGATGCTGAAGAGGTCCCTCGGGTCCCCCCACCCAGCGGGGTGTTCCCAGCAGCAGCACCGCTCTGGATGGGCTCCCTCCCTCGTTTTGGGAGGAGAGGGGTTAAGTCAAAGCATCCGAGCTAAGCCCTAGCAGGAGAAGGCTGAAAGCTCCCGGAGAACAAAGCTCACAAAGTGGTGGTAAGCTGGTAAAACCTGTGGGAATGTGGGAGCCTTCAGGGGCAGTGGGGTCCTGCATGGGGAGCGGGGTCCTGCAGGACCCCAGAGCCCTTCGGTGTGGAAATCCTGGCCTCAGGTTATTTTTGGAACAATTGCTTGGCCAGACTACAAAAATGTCCTGGATTTTGGAAGAGACTGGAGCCTGTGAGCCGCCAGCACAGGCCAGGCTCTGCAGGGTGTCCAGGGCTGGGTCGGGAGCACCAGGAGCCCCTCCAGGGGGATCAGGAGGTGCACCTGGAGCCCCACACTGGGACTGGGGTGGCTGCTACATTGATGGAGGTATTTTCTCCTTGCCAATCCCAAATTTGCCATCCACCTTGCAGGGAAGCTTTCCCAGGAAGGCAGCCTGAGCTCCAGGCTCTTGGGTGCCTCCCAAGGTGGACGTGCAGGTCGTGCCTGGCGTCCCCTCCTCTCCCAGAGCCCCCTCCTTTGCAGCCTGGGCTGTGCCACCCCTCTTTTATCAATTGCCGGCCCATATGAAAGGGACAGAGAGGGCAAGGATTGATTCTGGGCAAACACTATAAAGGCACCTACAGTTAGAGCGGGGAAGCAGTCGGTTCATGGTAATTATCCTGGTTAAATTATAACCTAATGAACAGGCCACCTCTGTCCCCGGGGCTGCCGTGTTCCTCCGAGCGCTGGCATTGCCGTGTGTGTGTCCCAGCCCCGGTGACACCGAGGGGACCCACGCGTGGCCGCGGCTGGAGCGTGACTCCTGCAGAGCTGATTTGGGGCTGGCACAGCTGGGTTTTGGTGCAGCCCTGCCTGCTTCCCGACCATCCTGCTCTTCCCAGGGTCCCCGAGGT